AGTTCAAAATTATAAAAAGTATTTGATTTAGAGTGGTTTAACTATGAATAAGTCTTTTCTAGGTTCTATTTCTCAATTTTATATTACTTTTTTAATGAAATAAGAAATGTGGTAAAGTGGTAGCAGAATGAAAATTTCCCCTAAAAATCAGAGACATGCAAAGCATGATGATATACCATCTACCTATGTACAATTTAACTTTTTAAAGGTTTACAATAACTACTTGAGGTAGGCAGGGCAGATATTTTCAGATAAAGAAATTCAAGTTCAAGAATGTAATTAACTTGCCTGTAGCTAGCAAGTGGTATATAAAAAGAGAAGCCTACTATACTATACTTAGAAATTGTTTAAAATTAAGGTACTTTTTTTTTGTTAAAACAGGAAACACTGACCATTTCTCACTGCAAGAATTTTGAACGCAGGGAGCATGATTTACTAACCTTTGAATCCAATGTACCACAAGATATGACTACTGAACAATCATTTCTAAGATCTTTATTTATTTATTTATTCATTCATTCATTCATTTGAGAAAGAGAGAAAGGGAGAGGAAGAGAGAGATAGAAACATCGATGAGAGACAACATCGATTGGCCACCTCCTGCATGCCCCCCACTGGGGATTTGGACCACAACCTGGGCATGTGCCCTGACTGGGAATCGAACCAGCAACCTCCTAGCGCATGGGTTGACGCTCAACCACTGAGCCACACCGACTGGGCTCTAAGATCTTTAAATATATGAAAAAATTATGTTCAATAGCTGAGTAATTCCTTAGTTACATTTGAACACAATATCATCTTTCACACTACCAAATCATTAACACCCTTATTTCTCAAAATATAAATAACCCATTTATCCTGGACAAGTATTAGTATACTTGTTTTGTAACTTCAATCTAATTCAAAATGTAGTATAGTGACTTTTATTTAAGTTAATATTCCTTCTTGTCAAGGAAATAATCATTCTCAATTGTACCAGTTTTCACAGGATGATTGTTTAAAATGATGTATATTTATTTGCACAATGAAAAATAATGTACTAAATACTTCTTAAAGAGCATAAAGTAGTTAAATTCAGCTAATCGAGGCACTGGGAAAATCTAGCTAAAGGAATTTCAGTAAGCAAAATTCCACAAATAAAATGAATAAATGAAATGAGGGAGTAAGCTAAAAATTACCAAAAACGTTCACTGTCTTCTTTTAGATCAAACAATACTCTCTGATGATATTTCAAGTTACTTCATTTTTAAACCATGACTAATTACAATGGCAATGCTTCCAAAACCAACAATGATCTCACTTTTAAAACATTCTTGTCAGGATAACATTTTCTTACTAAAACATTATACTCATTCCTTTTAGCCAACCCTAATACTGAGTTCCCAAAAGTTTAATCAGCTACATTTTTAAGTCAAATAGGACAACTGTTATAAGATTGAGTGTGTGTGTGTGTGTGTTTGGGGGGGGGGGGGATCCAAAAATGTTATGAAAAAATAAATCACTACTTTAAATGGTAGTCTTAAACAAATGCACTCTTTTGTTGGGAAGAACAACTATATTTGGTAACATGCCATATTATTAGAGAAGATATATACTGCCCAAATTGATCTTTTGTGCCCATTTTGGCTAAAAATTAAAAGCTATATTAGGAATCTTTGCAGTGATCTGTTAAATAAATAAAATTGACCCCCTATGCATTCTAATTATTAATGCTATTCTCAGACTCTTAGGGTGCTAAAGTGGTCAGTTGAGGAAATATCCAGTAAGAGTAGTCCTGGGCTATTGAGTATACTCTGGATTCACACCAGCATGCAATAGGATACTGGTATTAGGAGAATATGATTTGGTGAAATGTTGTAAAATGTTTTATTCTATCTTTTGACAAACTTTAATGGTATAAATAAATGAATGGCATGCAAGTTTCATGGGAATTGTTTCATAAAGAAAATTATTGTTTGGATTCAGGTATAGACCAAGTAGATGACAAATCTAAATAGAAGAAACACCTCAAAACAAGTATGTCAATCCCTACTAAAAAGAACTTAATACCAAATAATTTTATTCTCAAAAATTATTCTAGGCCTTGAAAAGGAATGTAGCTTAAATACAAGTTTTCACATCACTTCGATTATCTTCTTTGAAATTATGAACAATGATTTAAAATTTTAAAATATCCATCTACATTTTATAATCCTGTGTCAGGCTTCTAAACTGTAATGCTTCAGTATGAATTTGAAAAAACCTTTTTTCAGAAAAAGCACTGGTCTTGGGTCAGTAAAAATAGTAACAATAATGGTAAGAACAACATTTATTAAATGCTTAGTATACACCAAATTCATGAATTATCTTTTGGAATCTCATAATGATCCTATGGAGTTAGATACAATTAATTACATTATTATCATTATTCCCATTTTACAGAAGGATTACAGATGTTTGAATTAAAGCAACTTTTAGCAAATACTTGACATAATCTTAACCCAGAAAACTTTAAAAATGGCCTTAATTCTAAAGGAAGATAATTTAAGGACCTCTTTCCTCCTTTTTAATGACATTTATAATAGGAAAGACTTATATCTTCCATAACTGTTTTTTGTTTTTTTGTTTTTTTTGCAGATGGGATCTATTCATGGATCATAAAAATCAATTTAATAATTCATAAACAGCATTTTTTAAAAACCGAAAGTAACTAGAATTAAGAAGTCTGACAATTATAAATAGCAAGGGCTAAGTACTGCTTCATGAAATCTGCTTATATAGCTGTATACTCAGTCATAATTTAAAATGTATTTCTTACCATGGGTCTCAATCAAAATAGACTGAAAGCCACAATGCTAGATAAAGTCCCAAGGCATTTTCCACATGAAATATTTCTGACATAAAAATTTATGTAATTATATTCTGATGATTGATATTTCTAGGATCTATACCTAAAATATTGTTTTTGTAATTATAGTAACATTATTGGCACACTGAAGAGCCAACTCTACTAAGACATGTAAAAAAATTCTAGGAATGTAGCCTGATCAACAGTTTTCCCAAGAAACATAAACATAAAATGATTTGTGAAGCAATAAACATAATGTTTAAAGAAAGTATCTGAAGGAAACCAGGGCTCCTTGAAGAAATGATAATTCCAAGTCTGGGTAGAAAAATACAAGATGAATGTGAAACATCTTGTGTCATAAAGCAAAGAAGCTATCAGAGATTAGGTTGTGTCAAACCGACACAGGAGTCAGCTTAAAAGATTCCCATAGATCAAATATGGGACAATTTGGCTTCAAAGAGAATAGTGCCTATAATAGATTGAGACACAAATATATAAAAATTCAAGAGTTCAAATAAAAGATAACATTGATCACCTCCATGGTTGCTAGGATATCAACTTATTATTCTTAAATTGGGTAAATAAAAGAAGGAAGTATTTTTTTCCTGCCTTTCCTTCATCCGTTTTTTGCATTTATATCCAGAGAGTTCATGAAGAAAAGTTCTTTGAAAGAATTCCAGGTTTAAAAAAAAAGCAGACAAATTTAGAAAGTCACCAAGTTATAATCCTTAAAGAAATAATGAATGATCAGTAATGGCTGCTAAAACCATTAGTTAAAAGATTGATTGGAAACTTTATAATAGATAAATCAGGTTGGCAACATCTGAACCCACTGATCAATTTTAACATGACTAAAAGTGGGACAACGCTTCCTAATGGGAGATAGTAGGAAGTAGATATAATCAATATGAAGCATTATTGCCCTAAAAGAAAATAAGAACTTAAATCAGTTCTCTAGATCTACTACCTACTAGTTATAGGAAATGCAGAAGATATAAAAAAGAAGTTTAAAAAACCCCACAAATATGCAATTAACTAAATTCAAAATATGGGAAATTCTATAAGGTCTGGTTTCTTCAATAAATAATATTAAGAAGCCCTGGCCGGTTTGGCTCAGTGGTTAGAGAGTTGGCCTGCAGTCCAGAGAGACCCAGGTTCAGTTCCCGCTAAGGGCACATACCTCAGTTGCAGTTTGTCCCCGGCCCTGGTTGGGTTGTATGGGTGAAGAAAAAAAAGTAGACAGGAAATTGTTAAGGATTAAAAGAAAATCCATTCATTCATTCATTCATTCATTCATTCATTCATTATTTTTGGTACGTGCCTCTAGCCACTAGGGCCTAGCAGAAACCGAACCCGGGACTCTCTGGTCCACAGGCCGATGTTCCAATTGCTGAGCCAAACTAGCCAGGGCAGATTAAAAGAAATTTAAAAGACTCATTGTAATGCAACACTGTAAACCTTGTTTGGATCTTGATTTGCACAAACAAACCATAAAAGGACTTTGAACATAATTGGAGCAATTTGAATACAGACTAGGTATTAGATGATATTAAGGACATACTTTTTATTTTGTTAAGTGTGATCATGGTAATGTGGTTTTGTATTAAAGATAAAACATTTTTAAAAATCTACAAGAATAAAGCATAACATAGAAATCCAATTAGCAGACTGCCATGTAACAAATACTTTGACATATAGATAGTCCTTTTTTAAGAAAAATGTTTCAGCTCTGACCAGCTGGCTCAGTTGGTTGGGGCACCAAAAGGTTGCCAGTTTGATTCCCAGTCAAGGCACAGGCCCAAGTTGTGGGCTCGATCCCCTAGGAAGAGGAGTGCAGGAAACAGGATGATGTTTCTCTCTCCCTCCTTCTCCCTTCCTCACTCTCTAAAAGTCAATTAAACATATTAACAAAGAAAGAAGAAAAAAAAAACATTTCATCTTTCTGACAGATACTGGAATTCCAAATCACTAAGTACACAGTCACCCAAATTCCTACTTTCAAAGTAAGGTAAAGGCTACCTCAGCTGGGTAAATGTCAGACAGCCAACTTTTGTTTCTGCTTCAGGACATTTTTCCATTTAAAATGTAAACAATATACTCCACATACAATACTTTAAAATGTCACAAATATATAATTATATATGTCACAATAAATATTGTACTAGAAACTTACGAAATAGCAGAACCAAAGGACAAACACGTTTCATGATCTTCTTGAAGCACTGAACTTATTTTCTTCCCTGTAGCTTTACTTATAGATGTCTTCAGTTTCTTAGCTAATTTTTTTGGTGTGTTGATTATAGAAGATTCTTCTGTACAGCAACTATATAGTTCCACCTTTATCTGAAAGTCTGGCCTTGCTTCATTACTAAAAACAAGGGTATTAATAATGTTAGAAATTCAACTCAGTAGAAAATAAAATCTTAACACCCTTTGATGTTTTCATTCATTTAAAATCAGCATTTGAAATAGGCTTATGTTAATATATGTTAATGAGACAGAATCTCCCAGTGTTTATTTAGTATCTAAATGACCTGAGAAAGTCACTGCAACTTCCAGAGCTACCAGCTTCTAAAGTAGGTCAATTTTAACTCAATTTAACCAGTACATCCAGGCACATTACTTAAAGAAAAAGAATAAAATGTTCTGGTCATTTTGTTGCCAATGCTATTTCTCCTTATTATTCCTTTAAAACAGCTATTTTTAAGGTATCTATATTATACATGTAATTTCCTGAAATTACTATTCCTCCAGAAGAAAAAGGATCTGAAAACAAAAAGAAAACAAAAAAGGAGAAATAAAGGTTTCTTCTGCTAAAACCTTTAGTTTTCATTTCTTTTTCAGAGTCATGTACAGTCTATTCACCACATGCTGCTCCCTCCCTCTGAAACTCATCCCACCTTTGTGCCTAATAACTCTAAAATAACATTTCAATACTTGGTTATATAGAGAAAAACAAACAAACAAAAAATGATATAAAGGGATATACTCCTTGAGGACAAGTGCTGTCTTAATCTTTGTATTGTTAACCTAGCATAAAAGGTACTCGATAAATATTTATTAAACCAATATGCAGAAATTCTGCAGTTTTAGCAAACACTAAGATCGGCTTTGCCCTCTGTCAGACACAGTGAACTACCTTTCCCACAAAAGGCTGTGGTGGTGTTACTAACAATAAAATATACTTAACACTGCAAAAAGAGGTCCATCAGTACATCCTGTCTGTAGATGATCTGTCAGCCTCAGAGATTTAAAAAATGCAGCCTTTTTAAGATTTAAATGGCCAATTCAAAGTTTACATAAATCCAAGGAATAATTTCCAGATATTTTTAAAGATTATTATTTGGCAACCTTTAAACATACAGTATTCCTGGTAATGACTAACAAATGTCAATATTTAGAGGAAAACCAGAGATTCATAAATATTGAACACATTAAAAACAACCATAACAAAAAGCACATTTTTAAACAACATTTAGAACATTTGACTGCTGTTATTTTTAGAACAATTAAAAATATTTACAGAATTTTTAAAAAATTACAAATCATGTGTTGTCTTCCAAAGTAACTTGTATTGCTCTTTCCCTGAAAAAAATTATAATTTTTGTCTTTGTGGTAAAATGAACAATAGCAAAGTGATGTGAAGAAAGAGCCCATTAACAGGATGACCTTGACAGAAAGAAAAAAAAAATGCACTAGCAATAGTTGATCATGGAAATAAATGTATTTAGGTAACTAAGAAAAATTATTTTTAGTCTCAGTTATGTAAGGATTTGGTGATATTTGGGGGATCCAAAATAAATTACTTTGATTCAACAGAGCTTGTAAAAAGGCCTGCCCTGCTGCTAATAACTCAGAACAATGAATTTCATTTTTCTGTGCTATACAATTACTTATGGGACACTGGACAGAAGCCACAAAACATGGTTTGCAATAGTTTTTTTAATGTTATGTGAGTTCAAAAACTTGTACTCTCAAATCTCAACTGCAAGCTCCACAGCTGACAATGACAAAAACCATGTTGACTTTATTTTAAGAGTTAAATAGCTACTAATATTCAGATATTAAGATAAGGTCTTTGAAACCCTGAAAGAAATGCAAATCACACGCTGATTTAGGCCAATAGACCCTTAGAAAGAGGCTAGAAAAGACTTATGTTGGTTAAAAATGATTTCTATGGCTACCTAAGGAGTTCTTCCTGGTGCTGCATTATGACCACAATAAAATGAGCCTGTAAAAGAGCAGAAGCAATAAAAAGAGCCCCGAGGATCACCCAATTTTTTATTGTTTTGGAGTACATGAAAGAAGTCCACCATAAGAAAAAGAACATCTCAAATTTTACTAAAGTGCTTTTCCTATGGTACATATTTCAGGACCATCTTATAAAGTTGTGATACTATTTTAGTATTTCTATAACTAAATCTCCTATATGAGACATAAGAACCTGTTTTATGCCTAAATTCACTTTACATAAAATACTGTTTTGCAATTCCCTTGTATTCATAGCTTAGTTGATAATTAAACTACAAACATTTGTAAAAATTAATAAAAATTTATAATATCCAATGAGTCCAAATATTTACTAATATTACATGATTTCCATTTTATTTTAAATTGGAAATTTTCAAACAAAGATATGGGCTTCTTTTGAATGAAGTAATTTTTAAAATAAATTTGAACACTTAAAGATCTAATGCTTCAAAAATAACTCAAAGACCCAATAATTATGCCCTCCCTTAAAAAAAGGCAGAATTTTAGAGAATTTTCATTCTCTAAAGATAAAAAAAAAGTACTTACAATATGGTCACATTTTCAAAACATATATCTGTGATTGTTTTATCGACAATTACCATGTCAGTATCAAAAACTTCAGCTCCCATTTTGAATAAACAAAAAATGGCATAGCGCTGTGATCCTAGAGGAAGAAAACACATTTAAAGTCATGATCCACATGACAGATCATGCCTACATTATGTTAAAATCTACTTGAAAATGGGAAAAAATTAGCTTAAATATTTAATAGATTCTCATTTCTGTACAATGTAATCCTTAACTTTTTTATAGTATTGTTCTGACAGTATAAATTAATACTTTACCCAACTAAAACAATTAAACTATGGAATATGAAAAATAAAGTTAAAAATATAGGCCCCTTAGCAGCCTAAAATAATCACCAAACTCATAAATTTAATCCCTAAAAAAACCTTTAAGCTTTAATTAACAGCAACTGTATTATTATATATATATATTATTACCTTTGTCATTTTGGTTTCCAAGTCTATTTAAGAAAAAACATTTTCTATTATAAGAAGTTAAGAGCAGGCACATTAACAACAGCAAAACATTTTCCACCAAACTAACAGCAAGGGAGGAAACCACAAAAACAATAAAGAGTAGACATGTGAATACACACACACAAAAATAGCTGTTGGGCCTTTTAATTTGCTGATGTTTTAAAAAAGTATTAGGTGATTAAAGGGCTAAATCCTCATTATTGAGAAAAACTTATTTTCTATAGTAATCAGAAATATGTACTTAATTCCCACATGTATTTTTTCATAAAGTAAATTATATTTCCTAATTGAATAATAATTATACTAACCTGAATTTGGATTCTTCCTATAAAACTAATTATGTTCAATGTGATTCAGTTTTTAAAATATGAGTAACAAAGCTATCACAATAGACAAGAAAGATAAAGGATTATCATATCTTTTCTGCTTTGCCTCTAACAGCTAGAAATCATCTGAGGTTAATTTCCATGACCTCAGCATTACATGAATTTGTGAAGACTATATAAAGCCATAAAATGCTGAAGTGGGGGAAAAAATCAGATCAAGCTAAAAATCTTTCTCTCTTACATCCTGTTAAATAATCTGAAGAAACAAAACAAGGCAGAAAAGATCTCTCAAATCCTGGTCAAATGGAAGAAATGCTGCCTTTACCTTCACTCCTTCAACACTTTCTTTGGTTGCACACTTCCTTTCCCTTACACCCGTTACAGTTACAGACTGGCCTTGCACAGGTTCCTCTCAACAACTAAAAGCATATTAGATATGCATTATTTTACTTTGTATCGAGTAATTACAGCATATTTATACTAAAAGTCCAAAAACACACAGTTCAGCAAAATGTTGCTTATTCTGTCAAATGTCATCAATTTATTTCAGTGTGGAAGCAGCTTTTTCTCCCAATAACACAAATTTTTCTATACACTAAAAGAAATAGTTTACTTACAAAATGAAATTATACATACGTTCTTTATTGCTGAAGTGATCAGAGTCTTTCCACATTAGTGGTATTCGAATATCTATAGAGGGGAAAAAGAAATGACAGGTAATAATTTAATAATTTTGGTAAACTTCATTTCTTAGAGTGAATGAAGCTGTGAATTCCATAATGGATTCTGACCATTAAAGCCATTAAAATGTATTATTTAAATATTCTAACACAGGTAATATTTTATTTAAGAAATAGCTTAGACTAGACATATAAAACGTTATATTTACATAATTTACTAAAAAAAAACACACCATAAACTATAACTCAAGAAATTCATTGATTAAGTAAGGTCTGTAATAAGCTTATGCTATAACATTTTCATTTTGAGATTTATGTTTTCTGAAATAAATGAATTACGGAGAACCTAGTATTGAATTTCTATCTGGGGTAAGTGGTAGCAGCACTAGTAGTTAGATGCACTTCAAAATGTATAGAATAGTAGAGGCAGAAGAGACTTCAGAACTTTCATCTACTATGCAAACCTTAAAGATGAGGAAATAAATAACTTGTCTAAGATCATTGGTTTTTTGGGGGAGACCCAGTTCTTGACAAACTCTTCCCATTAACATTTAACTTGCCTACAAGGTAATTTGCAGATCTTTGTTGCAGATCTTTGTATATTCATGTTAAAAACTGCAGCATTTCCTTTAAGAAAAAAAGCTCAAGAGATGAATGCATTACTTCTTTCAGTCCAAGGAAAAAGTCTTATGTTCTAAAAGTGATCTAAACATACTTTCTCTCATTCACACATTCTTCAAACTCTAAAGTAATTGTGTTAATGCTCTTTATTCCAGACGTTAATCTAGAACTGTGATGTAGAAAAAAATGTTCCTTCCTAGTTTACCCCTACTTCCCTTTACTTTCAATTATAAGATTAACAGTAATAACCTTTTTTCTGACATTCCTATACTCCTTATGTATTTTTAAAGTTAGAGGATCAAGGTGCCACCAAATAGATTAAGATGTGTGAACATAACACAGTAGAGATCTCAATGGTAAAATGAAGTTTTAGTTACTCAGAGTACAAAACTACATAAATATCTCAAGTCTCTGTGAAAAACTTGTTTGAAACACTTCCCTATTACATTTAGGAAGTTTACATGCATATTTTTCATACATATTAATTATGTAACTTTCAAATAATGACAAATCTTTATGAAATAAGCTGGTTGGCTACATTTAGCTTGTGCTCCTCCTGCACAAGACCAACCAGGGCCAGGATTCAAACCTGCGACTATTTGGTCCGCTGGCCAGTGCTCTAATTGCTGAGCTAAACTGGCCAGGGCATAGGTTCTCAATGCCTGTTTCTAACTTCCTTTCTATAAAAGCTTTATATTTACTGCTCCATCCCTAACCTACTCAACCAGGTAGGTATGTATGAGTGCCCTTCCCATTGCTGCCCTAGCAGTTTTCATAAAAGTATTATCTATGTGCCAAGCTAAACACTTTACATACATTTCATCAAATAATAATTTTTAAAATGTTTACCAATAGTCAAGTGACAGGATTTAATTGCTTAGATTTGTGTTTTCTTGATTAACAAGAAAGCTGTTAATACATTTTATTGGCCAGCTCAGTGAATCTGTTTGTATCCATAGCCCATCTCTCTCTCTCTCTCTCTCTTTTTAAGCATATTATTTATGGTATGTACTTTTAAAAGTTATTTACTCTATGTAAGAATATGAGTATGTGAGATAAAAATAATTATTCCTCTTATAAAAATAATTGTTGCAACTCCATTTATATCTAATAAGTATTCTTTTCTTTCCTGATTTAATGTTGCCATCTTTATGATATATGTCACTCTAAGTGTTTATTTCTTGGCTATATACTTTATGGATCTACTTCAATCATTTATTAATGACTACCCTACTATCAGTGCCATACTACTATAATCGTTGAACCTTTATAATATACTTGACTGTTACAAATATATCCTTCCAGCAACCTCTTACTTGCTAATTTCTTCATGTAAATTTTAGAATGTTTTGTCAAAATTCCCCCTCCAAAATGTTTTTCTTTTGTCCAAATTAATTTGGGAACTGATAATGTTATAATATTCTGTCTTTACACAGAGTAGCACCATATAGTTACCCTCACATTTTTAGTAAGGTGATTTTTGAGGGCAGTCAATGTGTTTTATGTTTTGTTGTGTTTTATTGTAAAGATCTTTTTATGCTATACCACTTTTTGTATATTTATCTTGAATCCAGCCATTTTTACTGAATTCCTTATTAATTCAAATAATATTTCAGTAAATTTCCTTAGATTTTCCAGGTCTGCAATCTATTATCTTCAAAAAAGTATTGAATATGTCTATTTCTTTTCAGTAGTTTCACATTTCATTCTTACCATTTTAGCTAGGATTTCTAAAACTGTGTTAAATTATATTGATACAATAGACATTGTTCTTTTGTTCTTGATTTTAATGGGCCTGCCTTTATTGTTTTATAATTTTGACTTGGCTGATGCCCTGTCAAAGAGCCTTCTTCTTTTTGACCACAATTGCTGACTCATTTCATTTTACAACTGTTCTTATTCACAGCTGTTCTTGTTCTATTAGGGTGGTATTAACTATTTATACTATCTTGGGAGGAACATGGACCCTGACTTCTTTTGCTATATACCACAGCTAGTGGCGTAAGTCTTGCCCTTTCCCATGACTGGTTATGTTAGATCCTCAAGAGGAGAAGGTGGACACTTATCTATTTCTCAGGTCACATATTGTCAGATGACAAAAAAAATGTATAAGCCACCAACTGTTTCTAATTCAGGTTCAAATAGTAGAAATTCATTTCTGATTCTTGCAAATGGTTGACTCAGTTTTAGTTACACTGCTCTTACCTTTGTCTTTTTTCATGTCTTCATTGACAGTTTAATGGTAAAATGAAAGAGTCATAATAGGATGGCTAACTTGATGCTATCAGGCCCTAGAAGTCTATTTATCATACTTTTCAAATGTAAAAACTGAGGCACTCTGTGAACTGATTTGGCTTTAGTCACTATATTAGTAGGCAGTGAGTAAGCTCAGACAACGTTACCACAATGCAATTATTTGATGTTTAGCAGTAATAATCAGAATAAACCTCAATTATTTTTACTTTTACAAAGATCTGCCCAGTGAGTAGTGAAGCTGGAAATGAAAAACCCAGGTATTTCCTGGCAATCAACATAATCTCAGAAATATTATAAAAAAAGAAAAGGTGAATTTGTTTTTAATTTTGTTTTTCTTTTTTTGCAAATATACAGCTGAGATACAATTAAGTCTAAGCAAGGAAGAAAAGTAATTACATATGCATCCCATTTTTTGATACTTTTGGTTCCTTAATTTAAAATTATCTTTGGAAAACAGGAACACAAAGAAGTAAGTTTAATTTCTATACTTGAGTGTTTGTGGTAAGAAAAATAGTTTTTTTCTCTTTATATGATTTTACTTAAGCACTCTTTTAAGTATACAGTTAATGCTAATTTCATTAATTGCTGCAGTCAATAAACTACTATTAAATGACAACAAATGTTAACTCTATCATGTCATTTGAGTCTTCAATTGTAATTTAATATAACTCATTTGTGTTCTGAGTAGCACTACATTAGAAATAAGAAATAAAATATGTTTAAATAGTTTTAGAAAAATCCCTTTTAAAGATCTGTAATATTTTGTCTATCACATTAAAATCTTTTAAATATAGTGAACAACTACTATGTAAAAGCACTATGTTTGACATCAAAATGATACAGGAGGTATAAAACATGTTTTATTCCAGTCTTATAATTGGAAAGATAAAGACATGAACATAAATAACTATAAACAAGCAACAGATTTTTATACAGTTCAATTATTTTTCTGACAATTTTTTTGCTGAGGGCAATTCCTCTGATTTAGGACAATTACATTGTATGTAAAATTCAGGTCTATCCTTCCTATATGAGAATTTTTATTTATCTATAAGAACATTTCTAAAGAAATTCCTTGGGTGAGAAAACCTGAAACACAGCAGCAGGGTCCCTGGAACTAAGAAAACAAGGCTTTTTGCCAATGAAACAGCCCAGTTATTACTTAAGGACTGATAGAGGTCTATTGTTTCTAGTATTTGTTCAAGGTGTATTATCTAACTAGTGGCGTATATACGAGTCAGCCATGTATTCACTTCAGTCTGTGGCATCTCCAAGCCATTGTCTCTAGCTTCCTTAACACTTTGGAGAAACTGAGACAACACACCGTAAGTGCCATCTAGTGGTAAACGGTCTCCTAACTGCATTAGGAATTCAGAAAAGGGGAAACATTTCTAACTAGAAAAATAGGGAAGACTATATAGATAAGCAAACAGATCTTGAAGACAATATAGTTAATTTCAAGAGCTAACTGTGTGTCAGAAGCATGGGCTGTGCAGGCAGTACAGGGAGAGAAATGTCTTGCTAAAGCAGATAGCTTATATATAAGAATAGTAGAAAATAAGGCTAGAAAAATAGTTGGATCAGAATAAAAAACTCTTGAGGGTGAAAAGTTTGGTCTTTATTTTATGGGCAATAAAGAACAGTTATCCATCCACCCAATGTTCACTGAGCAATTACTATGTGCAAAAACTGTGTTAGCGTCTGGGTATATAGTAGTGAACAAAACAAACCTAGCTCCAACCCTCACGGAACTCCTAGCCTAGATAAACATTAAAAACACTGAAAATTCTGAGCAGAAAAGGAATGGAGAGTCAAAAGACTTGAATCTGCAGCTCAGCTCAACCACTTACAGGAAGTCATTTAACTTTTGAGTCTATAGAAAAAGAGAACCACCCTACATATTCCACAAAGCTGAACTGAGAAGAAAACTACATAATACATGTAATATATATGAAGCAATTTGTAAAATTCTAGAGCATAATGGTGAAAAGTTTTAGAACAAATATTCTGATAGAGGCATGCAAAATAAAATGAAGAGAATGGACACAGGAAATTAAAAAAACCCATTAACTCTAGAAAGATACTTTATAGAATTTATTCAGCAATATAAAAAATGATCTATCTAAAGCATACCTGATAGGGCAAGCTTTCCTTTACATGCTGTTCGTTCCTTACTTTCAAAATTCACATCACTGTCAAAAGAAAAAAAACTTAATGAAAAAAAGATATTTTCTAATAAGCAACTGTTTGAACAATCTTTCACAAATGTCTAAATATTAAAAGCAAACATGTACCCATGAATAATTATGACTTCCAGTTAATATGAATTACTCGACTCAAATTTTAAGATGTTTAGTCAATAGCTAGCTGGCTTTTATAGAGCTATTCTCTTTGATTTTTCATATAAGCTTTACCTTCCCTGACTATCTGCTGGCTTACTCTACAATGAAAGCCTTTTGTGATTTATAACAAAACATTTATAAACAATATGTACAATATTTGTCCAGGTCCTAGGAAGTATAATAACTTGGATCACCATTGCATAAATTATATTTCTAGCTTACCGGATTATAGATGCCTGACAAAGTTAATGAATGTTTCGATCATGAACTTGCTGCTCAGGAGTACCTTGGCCTTATAAAATATAACAATTTTTTAAATTACTCTGTTCTATATTTATATTCAGTAAGATATTTCATTTCCTTGAAATTCCAAAAAACTAGGCATATACTAAATCATATACATAGAGCACATACATAATATATTATCTAAGTGGAAAGGAAGGGATGGCTCTGTAGAGAGAATAAAATGTGGAGAGGGAAATATTATCATGACAATAGAAAAAAGTCTCAAAGGAAATTCTTGGGATATAAAACACTTCCAGGTCTGACTTTACTATTATCATTTAAAACAAAATCTTTTAAAATAGTTATCTCCTACCAGATCAAATCAATCCTATCCTTTTTTTTTTTATCCTCACCCAAGGACATTTTTCCATTTTTTGATCAGCTAGAGCAGGAAGGAGAGAGAGAGAGAGAGAAACATCGACGTGAAAGGGACACATCAAATGGCTGGCTGCCACCCACACGACCCAGCCAGGGCTGGGAACAAACTGCAACTGAGGTACATGCCCTTATTGGGAACCGAACCAGGGTCTCTCTGGACCACAGGCCAACGCTCTAACTGCTGAGCCATACTGGCTAGGGCAATCCTTAAATATTTCTCCAATATCCCATTTCCTAATATCCTGCATTTAGAGATTAGCATTCCATTTCTAGGGCAATATTTCCAACAGTATTCTTTGTACTTTTTTGGTCTTTATTTAAATTGATTAGCTAATTTAAAGAAACTGCTGGCTAATTTAATTAGGTACTTCAAATATGTATAAGAGAAACTTTTCATTTGAATAATATTTGATTTTCTTTTTTTTGTTTTTTGTTTTTTTATTTATTGATTTAAGAGAAAGAGAGAGGAGGGAAGGAAAGAGGGAGGGAAAGAAACATCGATTTGTTGTTCCACTTATTTATGCATTCAGTGGTTGATTCTTGTATGTGTCCTGACTGGATATCGAACCTCCAACCTTGGTGTACCAGGATGACGCTTTAACCTACTGAGCACCCAGCCAGAGCCGGTTTGATTTTCTAAGAGGGCTTTAAAAGAAAGATTGGGTGGGAGCTTGAAGTGTATCTAACTAATTTTTAGAAGAGTATGACACTGTCTCATTGCATTTCATTCAGGAGCCTTGATAAAAAGATTGCATATATTCATTATCACGTGCCCAAATCTGAAAATAAAATATATCAGCCAACTTTTTTTCTTTACTCTCTTACTTGATTAAGCACATAACTATTATACGTGAAATATATTTCAAATAAGTTAAAATAATTTACTAATGTACTTAAGTTGATAAGCTTATATGGGACATTTACATGGTGTTTACTGACTCGCATAACTAGGGTAATGTAGTAGACTTAAAGACATGCATTCTCAGAATCCTATCTAATTACTTTATGGTCACACCAGTATTTATGTTAAAATAGACAACTCAGTGAAAAATAGAAGTAGTCACTGACTATTTCATAATAACATTTAACTGAATCACACATTTAATAAAGAGTCAAATTCTACATTTTATACTTGTTTAGTTTGTCATGTTGAAGAACATTAACTTGTTTATTACTTCATCATAGAGTGAAAAATTCAATTGAATAGTCTACTATATTTTGGTGAAAATAATATACCGACAGGCCCACTAGAAATCAAACACAAATCTCAATTTCCTCAAATCGAAACAAGAAATACAATATAAATATAGTTGGTTGACATTTGTAAATAATATTTCTGAAAACACCTTCTATATGAGCAATACATAATATAAATTCTTAAAATACTTATTTCAATGAAAAATATAAGGAAGCTCTAATACGATATGTAACTTGAGTGTTATGGAATAGGTCATAGATTATGCTCAAGTTGAGATCCATTGGCTATTATTAAATTGGATTAAACTTGAGGCTTTGGCAGGCAAGTAATATTCTGAAATATTAGAACCACCAAAAGCAAACTTGTTGAATATTTACCAAAAAAAATCTTCCCTTCCCAACTATTCAACCACCTGGCGAAGTATAGCTTTCTTCCCTGTAATTATAAATTACTTGCATAGGCATTACCAAGACCAGTCAACAAACTTATTATGTACAAATATTATCGAACTACAATATAAATCCAATTAACTATATAATCTTACAGAATAATTAAGTCTGTCGTTAAAAAAAATTAGAAAGGAACTGAAGTAATTTAGCATCAGTTTTCTGAAACTTGAATTATTTTCAATTCAAATAACTCCTCAAACTGTTATTTGGGGTGCTAAAATGTAATATTTTCTAATTAATCCAAATTGACAATAAAATTATTAAACATTATCTGTTTAATAACGTGCTACTGTAGCTAATAGTTTGCCACAGTTAAATAAATACTTGTTTGGAAAATCTGCAATGTTAATGCCAATTCTAAATGCTATAATTAGCCAGCCTGAGGAAAAAGCAAATAACCACAAAATTATTCAAACAAAAGCACAGCTAAATAATACTGTACCTTATTCTTAGAAACCCAGTTTAGAGTATTATTTTGCTGAGACTTGTTATGTTAATTTAAAAGATAAAAGTATAAAAGACAAACTTTTAACTTGATTGTATTACGGTCTGTAGGTAAATAAAATGACCAATAGAGGGTGCCAATTATCCACTTTGTTACTCAAAAATTGTATTAAAATTGAGTAATATTTTATATTGTTCCATGTGGGCATGTAAAATACCATTGCTTTGCCAAAATTAACAAGCTATGATGAGAAATAACACAATGATGAAAGCATTTTATATTTTCTTAATGAAGTACTAAAATAATTCTAAATAGGATTCTACTATTTGAAAGCAGGTTATAAAACCCCTCACCTCCAATGCAAATCAATGAAAACTGTAATACTCAGAAATGTTTAACATGGAATTTTAAACCATTCTAAACCTATGTAGTACAAAATTAATAGCTTTAAAATATCTTAAATCGAGAAGATGAGTTTTCTATTTCAAACCTTCCCATAAATGCTTTTCAACAAAAATGAAATGATATAAAGTTTAAAAAACAAATCAGTAATGTCTGTAATTATATATCATGTTTTACTGCAGAACTACCAGCAGTATACAATTTTCACTTGCAACCTACACTTTTTTTTTTATTAAGATATACGCAAGTACAGTATAAGAAACTAGTTATTGTGGCATTATTAAAATCACAATAATGTTAAATGATACACACAATTAGGTCCTATAAGTGACTTTGACTATAATTATTTTTACGAAGCCAAAGTACTTCAGACATTAAAACAAAGATAGATTGGTGGGTTGGGGCCATGCTAAAATGTAATAAGCTCTGTAAGCATAGGGCTTCTTTTGTCTATTTTGTTCACTGCTGAATCACCAGTGCCTGATATATACAATACATTCTAAGGCACTCAACAATGTTTTTGTAAATACTGAATGAACTTAAATAAGATATGGTCATTTTGATGGAGTAGGCTGTAAATTTAGTAGATGCAGACTATAAAGTCTCAGGGTTGAATCTTACCCATCAATAACTAGTTACATCAATGAGTTGCTGCTAACCTCTTAGTGTCAGCATCTTCACCTGTAAAATGGGGGAAATATCTATCTACTTATAGATATTGAATGAAATAAATTTGATATGTATTCTATATCACTTTTGTAATCCTCTTCCAAGGATATGTTTATTGATTTAGAGAAAGGGGAGAGGGAGGGAGAGAGAGAGAGAGAGAGAAACATCAATGAGAGAGAAACATGGATTGGTTCCTCTCCTACTTCCCCAGACCAGGTATCCAGCCTGGAACCTAGGTATGTACCCTGACTGGAAATTGAACCTGCAACCTTTTGGTGTAAGGGAGGATGCTCCAACAGAGTCACCCAGCTAGGGCTGTATTTTACATCACTCTTAAAAATGTTGCACAGATACAAGGATTACTTTGTAAGTATTTATATTTTTGGCCACAGTATTTCACTTGGAGCTTATGTGAAAGAACTAAAACATTTGTTAAAGTGATGAGAGTATGACTTCCAGTTCCTATAAGATAATGGTAGCCACCTAAATTGGAATCTTTTCAGGCATCCTACAAAAGCTTTCAGATCAATAAGAAAAGCAAGTAAATATAAATGACATGTATAGCATAACTAGAAAACAGAGACTATTACAAACTTTAATTACATATAAGTGGGAATATTAACAACTGCAACCATCAAAGCCAGCTCCTGGAGGCTTTACCCAAGTAGAGTCAGGTACACATTGCAAAACATAGTATCAACATGTGATCTCCCCTAGAAGAAAAATGAATGGACAGAAGACCTGGTGAACAGAATAGCACTAGTTCCTGTGGAGTTAAAGGAAGGGACTCCAAAAGATTCTGGTTCAGAAGTTGTTAGTCTTGTGAAGAGGACACACAATGGGAGAGGTATCCTTTACAGGTTTGGCCATGACAAAGAAAAAAAAAAGGAGAAGTAATTGGAGCAAAAAAACTCCAAGATACAAAGTACTACCAAAGAATCAGAAAAACAACCAAACATACAACCAATCAACATTACAAAAGCCATAACTTATTAAAGAAGTTGCTCTTCACAGTTCCAAAAAT